ATTTGCACAAGTACATTGTGCCATCTCAGAAAGCGGGGCTCATCGAATCGTTGTCGGTGGCGCCTAAACTGGATTATGCGCCGACGAGGACGATTGATGAGAGTGCTGAGGGGTGGCACTGGATGGAGACGCAAGAGATAAAGAAAGGGAAGAAGGGTGGTTGGTTCAAGTACATGGTCTTGACATCGGTTGTGGGGGTGACTGCTGCGTATATGGCGCGTGCCGGGGTACCAGCACTGCTGATGAAGTTGACTGTGTAAAACGTTGCGAATTGAGTGTAATAGTTTTTCTTTCCCTGTTGTCGGCTTCGCAAATACTGTCTTTCCAGCTTCCGCCGCGTATAGCAATTCAGCCCTCATTAAGTCCTCCATGACAAACACAGTGGCTTCCCGTGTTCCGCGCAAGTGTGCTGGACGCATAATACGGCTTCAAACACTTCCAGCAAAAGTGGACATGGCATTTCGCACCTATCATATCGATCAGCCTTAACGTCACATTTAACGAAAATCCTACCTCTTCTCCTGGCACGAGAAATATATACGTACATTCCATATGATCACACCCCTTGTTCTTCTCAATCGGCCTCTTACACCCCGGACACGCCTTTGTCGTTTTCTCCACCACCTTCCTACTCGCTTCCTCCTCTTCCTTCTTCAGTTTCCCATTTGTTCTGTAGTCGTACTCTGTGCACGTCTCTCCTTTATGCCAGGCTACGTTGTGGACGACACAAGACGTCTTTTCGCAGGTGTTGCACCGGAATTTGGGGGTGTTGGGTAAGTGGACTTGGCCTGCTTTGCAGCCTTTGAGGGGGCACCAGTGGAAGCCGAGACGGGCTTCTTGCTTGGCGCGGGAGGAGAGGGCGGCGTAGCTGGTTGTGTTGTTAGTGATGTGTTTGGTTGGATGGGCATGTGCGGGGTGTGAAAAGGGAGTAGGGAAAGGGGATCGTACCGTTTAAAAATATCTTTCGGCGCAAAGTCTCTTATGTCTGCTGTACGCAGTTGTGTTTTGCACACAGGGCATGTTATGTCGTTCCACAGTTTTGCGCTGGACTCAGATGCGATCCATGTGCGAAGACACTTTCGGCATACGTCGACGTCGTGCTTGCAGTTCTTGGTAGGCGGCCGGTCGGGGAAGTGGTGCAGTGAGAGCGTATTTGTGCACACTGTACAGTCTTTCTTTTCTTTCTTGGGTTGATGTGAATCGTTTTGGTGGTGATGGCTGTCTACTCGATTGAGCGACTTGTGCCTTGTCCTACCGCCTTCGGCTCTTTTGCTGGACTTTGGCTTGTGTGGAGCTTCTTTCTTCGTTCGATGCTTGTCAGATGTTGATGTACGCTCTTTCTTGGCTTTGCCTATGGGTGTTACTCGGGTAGGATGCGATTCATGTGAAGAGGCCGACCTGCGGTCTCCGCGTCCAGGTTTGGCTGTCACGCCGTTGGAAACTGCCTGGCTATACCGATGTTGTCCGGTTGAGTCTGCGTCAGAAGAGGAACTATGGCCTCTGTTGTAACTTTTATTAGATTTTGACTGTCTCGACTTCAAGGCGACTACCTTTCCACGTCGCTCATAAGCTGCTTGGATCGTTCGCTGACCGCTCCACGACTGGCCCATGATAATATCTGATGTACGAAGCAGCCGTAAGAGACCGGATAAGAATGTTGAGCGTTTCTGAAAGTACTTCGGCGCTGCTCGATAGCCAGTATCGGTGGAACAGAGTGCTTCAGATGAGCGTAGGAAGCCTTTGCGTGGCGGTGCATCCAGACCGGGGTAAAGTCTGCGGTCACGTCGTGGCGGGCGGTGCTCTGGCACCCATGAACTGCATTAATAAATAAGGACTCGAGAGCAGTTGCACAAGTGGGCAGATGTGTGTCGATGTGGATGTCATTGTGCGCGGGGTCAGCCCACTGCAACCCTTGGAACCGGTCACCAAACCGGTGAGTAAGCTTGTCGGTAATTGGTTATCCACCCTGAAGGACTGTATACTTCCAACAAGGCTGGTAAACAGTCTCTAATACACTCAGACATGTGCCATGATAGCCGATCAGCCTATTGAGTGACTTCGGAATGTAAAAGCGTTATCCCGTGCTAGTGCTGCGCCACGCTATCGCGTTCAACGGTAGAACCAACCCAATTCATATCGGTTGCCGTAACAGTCGAGTTCCCCAGCTTCTGAACTCACCGGCTTCCTCAGAACCGTAATATCCCCAGGCCAGTACCCCTCTACATCGGGTTCAGCCTTGCCCATCTCCACTGAATTGTTGTATGCGGCCTTCCTTTCTCGCCGAAACTTGCCAATCTCACCCACCACATCGATGAGCGGAATTGTATCATGAACATTCTCACTTGTGTCCACTGGTGAGACATGATTGCTAGGTGCAAGCTCCAATCCGCTCATAGCTGCCAAGGGCAGAGTGCGGCCTGGCTCACGACCAGGCTGTCCGCACTCTTCATCGTCGAAGAAGGAGAAGTCATGCGTTGCTGCCTCCCAAAATGCTTCAGAGTCCGCATCTTCGGTAGTTGACTTTGTTGGATAAGCCCGCCAACTGGTAGAGATTTTCTTAGGCGCTGACTGTGGGGCCGCCATTTCAAGTACTACTCTCCGAAGGGCAAATTGGTCTCGTGCGTACTCTTCTTCCGCTATGGCACGCCTACGTCCTGGCGGTAGCACATAAGTGTGCCTGGCCCGTTGCTTGGCGATTGAAGCCTCCTCGGCTGCATCCTTGATAAACTGTATAATCCGATGAACAATCTTCCTATCGCTGGTCATGGTCGGCACATCCGTCAGAACGAGAGTGTGAAGCTTAGGAAGCATCCCAGGATGTAGTCGAGGTTCACTTGCTTGGCGAAAGTCTAGTCGGACCTTTCTGTCCTCGATGTAGTAGAACGAATTGCCTCGTGACCTTGTCGTAGTCTTGGTGATCGGCTGATCCAGTGTACTGCTGCCGTAGGTCGGCGTAGATGATGAAAGGCGTCCTCCAGAATCATGTCTGTTTGTAGCTGCGTGAGGCTGGTAGATTCCGTTTCCCAGTGGGCTAAGAGGGCTCAATGGCGAGTCCACAGGTATGACTTCCGGAGCGCAGGCAGGATCTCGGTTAATTTGTAGTGATTGCGGAGTAATGCATATTTTAGGAACGCTTTTGGCGTCTCGCCTTTCACCATCGGCAAATTCTGATTCCGGCCTGTCGTTTTCAGCGAGTTGAGGCGTTACAGGTGAGCCGGGAAGCTCAACCGGATATGATGAGTCCCCTGTAACCTCGTGTACAGCTATTGGGATTGAGTCGAGTTCGGGTGTCGGTGGCTCTACAGCTTCGAGCTCATGCGCATTTGAAGGTTTGTAGATAGCAAGATCCCCAGTGAGTTCCGCGCGCGGCGAATTGGGCGTTTCAAAAGGGGCGTCTTCTGTCACCAACTCGTAGTTGATCCGCAAGTATCGCAGTCTAGATGAAGCATACTCTGCAAGTACTGGAGTAAGCTTTGATACGCTAGGTAGTTCCAAGTCATCATTCGGTGTTTCGAGCGTGGGGTTAGAAGGATGCGTCACTACAGCGGGTAGTATACCCACATCTAGGACTTGCAAGCGTCGTGATCGCAGCAAAGCCGATATACCTTCAACAGTTATTGCGTTACTGGAGAGATACAAGTGCGAGACTCCGACATCGCTCGACTCCTCAATACTTAGGCTGCCGATGAAACCGCCCGTAAGCTTCTTGCGAAGATGGCCAACGAGGTTTTCAGACTCAAAGGTCTCTGGTCTATCGGTTGGGTTCGCGTTCTCGACAGGCGCCAGTGGTCCACGAGAAGAATGCGTCACAACAACCCTCTCTTTCAAGCACAGTTCAAGAAGGAGTCGCACGCTAGTGTCCGTCAAAAGGTTGTTGCTGATATCAAGGCTTCTGACGCGGCTGCTGATTGCATGCGCAACTACTGAGAACTCCTCATCCCTGATGCCGATTCCACGAAGATTCAGCACGCGCAGATTTCGGAGGTACTTGAAGGTCGAAAGAACCGCCTTGTCTCTCGCGGCTGCAGTCTTTGATAGATCCAGCGAGACAAGATCTGGAAAGTGCGGTAAAGCTTCTGCAAGGCCCATCGATGTAGCATTTGTACAGCTGGAGGCATCTAGTAGGCGTAGGCTGAACACCGGATATGTGTTGGGGCGAGTCAACCTCCATTGCAGGCTTGAGTGTCGCAGGCTCAGAAGACATGCGTGATCGAAGAAGGGCAGGCCGTCCACAATTAGGCACTGCAGACGAGGTAGGTGTTCCAAACAGTCTCGAAGCCATTCTGCGTGCGGTCCATCATACAGCTCTGCATGAGCGGGTGGGAAACGTAGAGTATGTGTGAGCTCTCGTACAGCTGCTCGGGCGTAAGGTAATGTACGCTTGAACCGTGTGAGCGCCACTGTTGGACATCAGTATACACCACCGCTTTTGTGGCATAGTAACACACCGTATACTGTATCATTCTGGACCCCAAAGTGCGATGCCGGGCTACCCCAAAGGTTCGGTGTGAAGGTCTGGTGACATTGCCGGTTGACCAAAGCTGCCGAGCAGAGGTCCTGCGAAGGTAAATAGGGAGCGATTAGCACCCAAGGATCGCGTCGCATTACGCTTTCGTAGGATGGAAGAAGATCGTCCATGGTCATCAGTGAGATGAAGTAGCACTAAATCTCACTGTTATGGTAAGTTCCATTAGTCGCCACTTAAGGTTGTGGTGGAGACCGGAAGGAAAGGCGCATGCATCTCTATGGATTCTGAAGAAGGTGAGGTGTGCGTGCGCATCTTCCTGTGGATACTGGCAGCTGGCAGGGCTGACTTGTGAGGCTGTGCAAGTGTTGCAGTTTGCCGGGTCACAGCTGCGATAATGCAACACCTGGCCTGACTAACCCGATTCGGCTACCAAGGCTTACTTGCATCTGGCGACAGCAATCACGTTTGAATTTCTCCGTTTTTTGAACAATGAATTGCTATGCGATATATCTATCAAACACGATCTTGCCTCTCAAGAGGTGACATCCATAATCTCACTTGCGAACTTACTCCTTGCTCTAATCCTAGGTCCGTAGAACACCAGAATCCACGGCACAATGGTCAACAACGCACCAATCCCACCGAGCAGACTGCTCGCAGGACCATACCCAAGCTTATTATACATTTGGGTCGTGATGAGTGGGAATATGCCACCTAAGATGATATCAGTATGCATCCAGTCGTGATGAGATGGAGATGACTTACCAAGCATATTCCGGCAGAAAGACTGCGCCGCCAGTGCCGAACTCGCATAGCGATGATACGTGTCTGCGAGGAAATTGAAGGTCGCCAGGTAGATGCTAAAGATGCCAACGGTAGCGATACCGATCGCAATTGCGGGTACAACCCAATGTATCTCGGGGAAGCTTGTCCATCCGAACATGAAGAGGCCGATGGGCATGCAAGCGCTTTCTATACAAGCGAAGTAAAGGCGACCTTCTGGTGTGCCGGTCAACTTCCCGCTCTTCTTCGCAATCTTCTCTTGGTAGATGGATAATATGGTCGACAGGATGCTGGCTATACCCATCGATGCGAAGACTGCGTTGGCTTGTTGTAGCGAGAAGCCGTGGTTGCTCTGAAACACTAGCGGAATTGCTGCCAATGTGAGGTAGAGTACGGCCCAGGAGAAGGCTACCCAGAGGGAGAACCAGAACACGACAGGTTCGGTGAAGAGAAGATGAAATGGGCGGTAGAGAGAAACGCCTATCATCTTGCCGAGTGAAGCTCGTTCTTCATCGGATCGCACCTTCCACCTCAAACGTAAAGCCTCCATCGATCCGGGCTTTTCGGTCTTGTGGACATTAAAGCCATAGTAGCCAGACTTCTCGCGTGCCTCGTACCACTTGTTCAAGGCTTTAGCTTTCCTGGATAGGAGAACTGAGCCGCGGGTCTCCTTGAATACGACACAGATCAGCACCACCACCGCTCCGCATGAGATGGCTTGTACGTAGAATATCCATCTCCAAGTCGTGTTTTGCGCAATGAAGCCACATACTAGAGGCCCCCATGAAGTACCAAAGAGAGCAGCACCTGAAAATAGGGCCATGGGTGTGTTCCGATCCTCAGCATGGTAGATGTCTGAGACCACGCCACCAACCATAGTGGAGAAGGTAGATCCGCCCACGCCCAAGAAGAAGCGCGCGACGAGCATTCCAGCATATGACTGCGTGAGGCCAGAGCACAGCTGGCAGATGACGAACAAAATGCCTGAAGCGAGGAAGACTGGCCGGCGACCGTTGATCTCAGAAAACGGGGCAAGAACCATCGGCGCGATAGCGAATCCTGTCGTGAAGGTCGTGATCCCGACCAGCGCTGCAACACTGCTGACGCCCCATTCCTGCGTCATCTGCTCAACACCGGGGCTGTAAGCGCCAGCCGAGAACGCTGTGAGAGCGGTGATGATGCATGAGACACATATCGTGAATCTCTTTCTTGTCTCTGACCAGTCGAAAGGATTTGTGTATTTGACGAGGTTCGGAGGTTCAGGTGGCGCTTCTTGGTCGGTTTGAGTCGGATATATCGTGGTCGCGTGTGGGAGTTCGGTGTCGAATGTGAGATAACGCCAAACGATTTCAGAGCCCTGCACGTTCTCTTGCGGTATGAACTCGCTACTGGTGCTTTGTTTTCCATAGTGGGAGTCTGTCTCCGGGTCGTTATCTGGTTCCGCTGTGGAATTTCGATCCCTCGGTTCCTCTGCGGAAGGCCTGCGCATATCCGGCAATATGCTTATTCCCGCTTGGCTTTTTGAATCTGCGCACTCTCCGAGCTCAGAGTCTCTCGGGAGGTTTATCTCCGGATTTGCACTCATGCTGCCATAAGGTCCTTCTCTTCTATTGAAATGTCGAAGAGCTACGCCGAGGATTTCGCAATGAACGCGTCAGAGTCTAAAAGCAAGCGTGAACCCGGTGACGCTGAAAAGCGCGACCTTCATAGCTTAAGCGGCGGTTAGGTCTGGTCCGCTAACCCACAGGCGTAGCCGATATGCATCCCAACGAACAACTGGACGGTGTGGGACGCCCGGTTCTCTCCCGACGGGATTCGTAGAAATCGTTTGCATTGGTCGGGAATAGGACTCCTTCTCCATCTTCCAGGCCCACATGCATGGGGGCGTCCCGCTTCGGGGTAAACTTGGGAATTTATCGTGTACACCGACATGCCAAGGCCGCCTCGAAGTCTCTGGCTGCTGGAGCGCGTGCAGAACAGGGTAGATCCGGTGCGTCATGCGGGAAGGAGTCTGGCGCGCCTCAAGCAAAGGCATCTCGACTCGGACAAGCATATGGCTCCCCGACATCATCGGCGGGAAGTATCGGCACCTGGGCAAAAGCAAGCAGCCTCATCGTCGCTCGATCCTGCGATAACCAGCACAGATATGCATCGTGTCCTTGATGAGTCGCCGCAAGGGAGCCAGCTCGGAAGTTCGGCCCAAAATCACTTTGAGGCTCCAGGCGAGAAGAAAGAGGACCCTGCCGAGGTTGCCGATATGAAGCTGTACTAGGAGGGAGTAGCGACGTTGGACGCGTGTGTAACATATGGAGGTGTAGTCAGGTGGCTACTCGCTGTGTCTGCCACAAGCGTGACGTCGCGACATTAGAGTTCGCGCGACGCGTGGGAACGGCGTGTGTGTTCAGGCGGGCAGTCACGGAATTCTTGCCGCCATGAAGCTACCCATCTCAGAAGAGTTTCGCGTAACCTCCGCACTGCCAGCTGGTGCTAATGTTTGTGAAAGCGCACTTTGTTAGAAGAGTGCGACTTCCCCAATCGTTCGGTTGGGCGACACACAGCCAAACATCCCGCCTCGATATCAATGGAGGCTGCTGTACCCCAATGTCGCAAGTGCATATGGCTCACCCAATCTCACACGGCAAACCGACAATGCGCGCATTTGATGCACAAAGCTACCGAGAGATTGGATCAAGCAAACGCCAAATCGGTCGCTGGAACGTCTGCAAACGCTCTGACATGGATTCGGAGCCTATTCGAATTCTGACAAGTAGGGATATCGCTGAGAAATCACCAACAACAACATCATTGGCTTCTACCTGCTTCCAGTTGCGACGAATGCTCGGCAGGAGGGGCAACAATTGGCATGCGATACCGCCGGAGATGTCGCGTCGATGATTCGCCCAGTGGCCAAACGACGTGGGCAAATTCAATGGCAGAAAAAGCTCTGGTGGAGTTCACGTGAGATAGGTGACGATTGCGCAATATACGCTAGCTGGAAGTGTTGGTCGTTCAATGTTGTGTATGGCCTTACAAGAGGACAAAAAGGCATCATCGACCCCTCAACTTCCTCCCTCCCTCATAATACCGCTCCAACATCCCAATTTGCATCTACAAGATACCTCGATATCTTCCGCGACCGTACTCACACACTAAATCACACAACCAGGTATGTTGGCTGCTTGCGCCTACCCCGCCACCCCGCATGTTTGCGCAAATCGCTGGGACCTGAGCTAACATGGGCGCAGAAGGCACCATGAGCGACCGACCAGAGCCTCTCCGCCTGGGCAGCAAGGCCCCCAACTTCAAGGCCGAGACCACCCAGGGCCCCATCGATTTCCACGAGTTCATCGGCGACAACTGGGTCATCCTGTTCTCACACCCCGAGGACTACACCCCAGTATGCACAACTGAGCTCGGCGCTTTCGCAAAGCTCGAGCCTGAGTTCAGCCGTCGCGGTGCTAAGCTCATCGGTCTCTCTGCCAACACCGTCGACTCGCACGATGGCTGGATCAAGGACATTGACGAGATCTCCGGCAGCAAGCTCAAGTTCCCCATCATTGGCGACAAGGACCGCCAGATCGCGTTGGCATACGACATGTGGGTAGCGAATCTTTGCGACTTACGACTCGCGACACTGCTAACGACATAAACAGGATCGACCACCAGGACGCGACCAACGTCGACAGCAAGGGCATTGCCTTCACCATCCGCTCCGTCTTCATCATCGACCCCAAGAAGACCATCCGCCTCATCCTCTCATACCCCGCCAGCACCGGTCGCAACACAGCGGAGGTTCTCCGCGTTCTCGACAGCCTGCAGACTGGCGACAAGCACAAGATTACCACCCCAATTAACTGGATCCCTGGTGACGATGGTGAGCCCTGGCTGTAAAAAGTGCATGTGAGAAATATACTGACTTCGTACTTCTCCCTCTGCAGTCATCGTCCACCCAGCCGTCAAGACTGAGGACGCGAAATCTATGTTCCCTGACATCCGGGTAAGTTCTGACTGTACGAAGTGCATGTGAGACATATACTGACTTCGTACTTCTACCTCTGCAGATCGTAAAGCCTTACCTTCGCTTCACTCCTCTCCCTAAGGAGAAGACCACCGCTGCTTAGAGGGCCCGATACCGACGACGCGACACCACGAAACGAGATAGCCCTAGGGCTCATACCCGTCTTGTAGCGGTGGACGCTGGGCGAGATTGGATAACGAGAAGGCATGGTAGATAGGCCAGTCTACGATTAGATGCGAAAATGAAATGGCATGATCACGACAGAAGTCTATTCATGTGCTCGTCCTTTTCAGGTCGCTTCTGGAGATTGTGATGCCGTAGAGCGGTCTGCGCTGGACTATTAGTCCCTGTGGCAATGATACCGCATGAGCAACAGTCGCATCTTGAAAGCGTGCCGCTGTTGTATGACATGCCGCGGGCTTACCTAGTTGGGTAGGCACGATGGACAAGCATCTGCGATGTCTACGAGGATACTGACTTAGGCTTCCTGTGATTTTAGACACCCAGATGATGGTTTCATGTATGCGCAGCTTGAAGATCGAGAGACTCGGAACACATGAACGGCAGTATTGATGATTCCACGTCGCGTTCAATTGGTGCTGCTGATTGCGGCCCCCAACGCACCGCCACGTCCTTGGGCGTACGCCGCACGCCTGCTGATGAGCAGCCCACCTCCGTTTCTCTGCCTCGCATGTACAGTTTCATCGTATAATCAACAAGATGCCGGAGATCACATTCGTGTTTGGACCGCGCAACAGCTTTTTCTTCGACTGTCGCCAAACATGGAAGTTGTGAGTTGCGCATGCTGGTGAGGAAGGCGCGGCTAACAGGGCGCAGCCACGAGATACCGCAGACGCTTCGTCAGTTGTTCAAGAGCTCCATGAGCAATCCATGGAGAGTCGCTAGCCCTTACTGTCTCGCGCTTGCTCCTCAGGGAGACTCTCCGGAGCCGATTTGGTATATCGGGTGTAAGACGTTAGATGGGGAGGACAAGCTCTGTAAGTAGCACCCCGGCCCAAATTCCGCGACCATGAAACGCATGGCGATGACGGCGCGGGCCAGCCCCATCGCACCTACCAAGCTAATCAGAACCAGTCCACTCACGGACCTACTTTGATCTCAACTATCCCGATCTCGCGCAGTGGCTAAAGTCGTTCCCGAATGCAGCCAGCTTGTGCTTCGTCACCTTTGGCCAGAAGTTCAGCTACTTCGCGTGCGCACCCGGACAGGGCTCGATATGGGCTGCTATACCTTCAGGTCTCGAGGATAGAGTGAAGAAGTCGCTGGTCACGCCGACTTGTGTTGGCCTTGGGATGAAAGATGCCTGGTTCGTTCTGTTTGCGGATGGACATCTGGCTTGGAACTTCAACGGCTATTACACTGGATTGAACAAGATTTTGATGGAAACTGCGCCGGGTGCCGTCAGTGTGAGTTCAGGAAACAAGCCTCCATGATGACATGAGTACATGAGTACAACGCTGATGCAACCCAGTATGTCGCCATATCGCCGTACAACAAGCAGCACTACTTCATCGCCTTCACAGACCGCCGCGTCAACTACAATTTCCAGGGAGGCCCTTCGGAATGGACGCGACTTATGAATCAAGTCTTCGAGTTATGGGCCGCTGAAAGCAAACGATTGCAAACTGCCAACGCGCCACGTTGGCATCAGCCGCAGGTACAACCGTATGTGCATGCGCAACCATCGCCAGCGCAAACATATCTTCACCCGCAGTCGACACACATTGTCAGTGCTTCTCGACTACCCATGGCCATGCCGGTGTCGCCGACCTCAGTGCCGAGTACGCCGGCGCCGATGTACGTCAGCCCTGTACAACAGAACGCCTTACCAGACATCGCGCCCGTGGATAAGACACCGGAGTATGGTGTTGTCGATGTACCAGTAGAACTTCCTGGACAAGCAATGTTCTCCCCGGCATATACGATGGCGAGTGTACCAGAGAAGGAACCAGCGAAGAAGAGGAGAAGCTTCTTGTCCAAGCTATTCTAGGCCAGCATCATTAATGTTGCTGAACTCCGCCTCGCTTCTCACCATCTCCAGTATCTCATAATGCTGTATGATAGCGAGCAAGAGTCGCAGCTTACATGTGCCGGCATCCTCGTCGGTGCGACTACACATGCAGCTCCGTACTTACCTTCCTGATTGGCGCGCACAGCCGAACGTGCAGGTGCACCTCTGCCGATCACCACGGACATGCATATCCACCACAAGAGTGGGAGAGCCATCACGTCACGATTCAGGGTCCTTTCGGTGCTTCTCAAGATACGCCCTATCATTGCTAACTTTTGGAACACTGCCAGCTGCAATATACAAGTAGAGCTTCTCCCCGCTTTCGTTTTCTCGCGCATTCATCTCGACGGGTAGTCACCAGCATCATGGCAGCTATTGCAAGAGCTTGGAAAGTGGGGGCGCTCACAACGTTCTTTCTGGCAACGATAGCACATGCTACTGAACCCACGGTCACAGTGCTGAATGGAACATACGAAGGCGTACGTCTCCCTTCGTTCAATCAAGACATCTTCTTAGGCATCCCATATGCGCAAGA